ACTGACTGTAAGCCCCCACAGTCAGCTGGCCCTCATGACCTTCCTCTCTCTCTCTTTCTCTCTCTCTCTCTCTCTCTCTCTCCCCCCTTCTCTCCCAGTAGTGATGGAGACACAGACAGCGTCAGCACCATGGTGGTCCATGATGTGGAGGAGACTGCCGGGACCCAGACCCCCTACGGAGGTGGCACCATGGTGGTCCAGCGTGTGAGTGGGTTTCCCCAATCTTTTCAAATCCCACCATGCCCCTGCCTTGTCCCAGCACTCACCCCCTTCTCTCTCTTCCTTTAGACTCCCGAAGAGGAGCGCAGCCTGCTGCATGCTGACAGCAATGGTTACACAAACCTCCCAGATGTGGTGCAGCCCAGCCACTCGCCCACTGAGAGTAGCAAAGGGCAGAGTCCTCCCTCAAAGGACGGAGGCAGCGATGTAAGTGGGTGAGGACAGATCCCAGATCTGGTAGCCACGGATCCGGGGTGGGGGGGAGGGGAGGCAGTTGAGGTGGACGGTCAGAGGTCCTGGGAAACAGTTGGCTGGGATCTGGGGAGACCTGGGCCTAGACGTAGTAGGAGGCCACAGACTGGGTCCCAGATGTTCACTTGATTGACCTCCTGCCTCCACCGCCACAGTACCAGTCTCGTGGGCTAGTAAAGGCCCCTGGCAAAAGCTCTTTCACGATGTTTGTGGACTTGGGGATCTACCAGCCAGGAGGCAGTGGGGACACCATCCCAATCACAGGTGAGGACTCAAGAGAAGGATTTAACAGTTGCATGCTTCCTCGCGGGTCTGAGCGCCTGCCTTTCTAGACCCGTTGACCCAAGAGTTAAAATGCTCAGGGCGGCCCAGGCCCCGACCTGAGTGATGGAACCAGGATGAGGCCTTTCAGCTGTGTTCCAGCTCTTCCGCACGTCCCTCCCTTCTCCCTCCACTTCCCTTCTGACTGTTGTGAGGAGTTCCCACTGGATGAAGGGAGAGCGGCGATGAGACTGGAGTCCACCCCCTCTCTTCTTCCTCTGGCAGCCCTCGTGGGTGGAGAGGGCAGTCGGCTTGATCAGCTACAATATGATGTGAGGAAAGGCTCTGTGGTCAACGTGAATCCCACCAACACCCGGGCCCACAGTGAAACCCCCGAGATTCGGAAGTACAAGAAACGGTTCAACTCAGAGATCCTTTGTGCAGCCCTTTGGGGTAAGCCTGGGCTGGGAAGGAAAGGAGGGTATGTTGTACTCTACACCCTGGATCAGCGGAGGGCCTGGCCTTGACGCTCATCTACCCAACGGGTCCTTTTCCAGGGGTCAATCTGCTGGTGGGCACAGAAAATGGCCTGATGTTGCTAGACCGAAGTGGACAGGGCAAGGTGTATGGACTCATTGGGCGGCGACGCTTCCAGCAAATGGATGTGCTGGAAGGACTTAACCTGCTCATCACCATCTCAGGTGTGTCTGTGGTGCAGGGCTGGGGCCGGAGGGAGCAGGGGGGATGCAGTCAGAGGGTCAGGGACATACAGCAGTTCAGGTTCTGTCACCATCTTTAGCCTGGGTGGGAGGAAGTCAGCCTTGGTCCAGGAACCAGAATGGAATGTGGGGTCACATTTTCCTTGTGGTAGGAAGATAAAAATGGTGAGCAGATAACCTGTACTTCCATTGAAGAAGAGTGTGTGTGTGTGTGTGTGTCTGTGTCTGTGTCTGTGTCTGTTGTATTTACTCCTCAGGGAAACGGAATAAACTGCGGGTGTATTACTTGTCCTGGCTACGGAACAAGATTCTGCACAATGATCCGGAAGTGGAGAAGAAGCAGGGGTGGACCACTGTGGGGGACATGGAAGGCTGCGGGCACTACCGTGTTGGTGAGAAAGCCGGGGCACATCTGTTAGGAGAAGGGAAAAATGAGGGGTTCAGAGCTCAGTAGCTAAGACAGTCTTCAAGGGGGAGACGTGGGATCATGGTTGGAATGTAGAGACAGACTGTTGAGAGGTGACCAGCAGCCCCACAAGGAAGTCCTTATATCCTTCTCCTCTTCTTCTAGTAAAATATGAACGCATTAAGTTCCTGGTCATCGCTCTGAAGAACTCTGTGGAGGTGTATGCCTGGGCCCCCAAACCTTACCACAAATTTATGGCCTTCAAGGTAATCGCCACCTCGGCGTGCAACACTGTTCCTAGGTGTCACTCTTGCCCTGTGTCCACCGAGCCTTCTCTCCACAGTCCTTCGCGGACCTCCCTCACCGCCCTCTGCTGGTCGACCTGACAGTGGAGGAGGGTCAGCGACTCAAGGTCATTTACGGCTCCAGTGCTGGCTTTCATGCTGTGGATGTCGACTCGGGGAACAGCTATGACATCTACATCCCTGTGCATGTAAGCGGGTGGGGCATGTAAGCGGGTGGGAGAACAGGACCACCAGGCTGGCTCTGGACACTAGGACTTTAGCCCACCATCTCCCCAGATCCAAAGCCAGATCACACCCCATGCCATCATCTTCCTCCCCAACACCGACGGCATGGAGATGCTGCTGTGCTACGAGGACGAGGGCGTCTACGTCAACACGTACGGGAGGATCATTAAGGACGTGGTGCTGCAGTGGGGAGAGATGCCCACCTCCGTGGGTGAGTGCGGGGTTCCCACTTGAGACCGCCGGCCTGCAGCGGGCGCAGGGCAGAGTTACAGCAGCTGTTCTGTTCAAATCCCTTTCTCCTAGCCTACATCTGCTCCAACCAGATAATGGGCTGGGGGGAGAAAGCCATTGAGATCCGCTCTGTGGAGACGGGCCACCTGGACGGGGTCTTCATGCACAAACGGGCCCAGAGGCTCAAGTTCCTATGTGAGCGGAATGACAAGGTGGGAGAACTGGGGCTCATGGTGCCCCCACCCTGGGCTGGCCCCTCTGCTGGGCAGGGGAGGAGATGGCTTGGGAACCTTTTGAAAAGGGGAACCCCAGGGAGCAAAGTGTGCGGGCAGCCTTCCCTCCCCTTCAGTTTCTGAGAGAACTCTCCAGACTCACCAAGAGGGCCAGCATCCTCCTTCCCGACACACTCTGCTTTCTGAGGGTGTGGGGGGAGGGCACCCTGAGAGGCTCGCTTCTGTCGCTTCTCTTTCTGCCCCCTCCCCATTAATTGCGACTGCTCCGTGGTCCTCATCCCCTGGTGACTTCTTCTTCTGCCCCCACACAGGTGTTTTTTGCCTCAGTCCGTTCTGGGGGCAGCAGCCAAGTTTACTTCATGACTCTGAACCGTAATTGCATCATGAACTGGTGACAGGCCTCGGGCTGGGGTCACCCCCCCTGGACCCAGCTCTCCCCTGAAGCCAGACTTCCCCAAGCTGCCCGCATTTCCCTTCCTTGGGCTTTTGCTTTTACTGGTTTGATTCACTGGAGCCTGCTGGGAACGTGACCTCTGACCCCTGACGCTTTCGTGATCACGTGACCGTCCTCTTCCCCAACATGTTCTCTCCCCAAAACTGTGCCTGTCCCAACTTCTGGGGAGAGGCACAGCTTCCCTTCACCAGGAATTGAGTGGGCCTAGCCCCACCCCCCCTTTTCTCCACTTAAGAGGAGAGCATTTGGGGCTTGGACCCCACACCCCACTGCTGCTGACTGGCAGGGCCCTGGGCCCCTTCATTTGCACGTCAGGGGAGCCGGCTCCCCCCTTGAATGTACCAGGCCCTGGGGGGTGTCACTGGGCCCTAGGTTTTGGGGGGGGTCACCAGCCACTCCAGGGCAGGGACCATTTCCTCATTTTCTGAAAGCACTTTAATGATTCCCCTCCCCCAGACCCCAGGGAATGGAGGGGGGACCCCGCCAGCCAAAACATTTCCCCTTTTCCAACTCCTATCTCGTCTAGTCTCTGCCCTTCCCTGGTGGAGGGTGGAAGCGGGAAGCTCTCACCCTCCACACCCCCTTGCTTGCATCTGTATATAGTGTGAGCAGCAAGTAGTCCCGGCCCTCCCTGCCCCCACCCTTCTCAATGTAGTGGCCTTGGATATCCCCTTTGTTAATAAAGACAAGTCAACCAGCTTCCACCACTTCGTGCCCCATTTTATTGTCTCCTCTTACAAGCCAGCTGCTAGCCAAGGTGAGCAGGCAGAGCTCAGAAAAGGGGAGTTTGGGTGTGGAATCTGCAGGGGATGAGTGAGGAGTGCTGGGTCAGTCGGGGGAGTGGCTCAAAGGGCTGGAGCACAAGCAGAGTGGGTTCCCCAGAAGACTAGTGGGAGAGCCCCAGGAAGCACACTTCCATCCCGTCTGCAGCCCCTGCCCCTTCCCAAAAGGAAACCAAGGGGAAATGACTGAGGGTGTTTTAATTCTGCAAATTCCATCAAGCACAGCCAGGCAAGAAGAGGAGAGCAAATGGGTTTCCTGTTTGGCTACATTATGTCTAAAGATAGCCGCTCAGAGAGGGGCCAGAGGGATAGTATAGCCGGTAAGGCCAGCCTGGTTCAGGCTGGCAACACATATGATCCCCTGAGCTCTGACAGGAGTAATTCCTGACTGCAGAGCCAAGAGTCAACCCTCAGCACTGCTGGTGTGGCCCAAAAACAGAGAAGCAGTTTATAGTTACAGGCTCTCATGGGGTTGGGGCCTTGAAAAACAGGGAGGTCAGCGAGGTCAAATTAAAGGTAGTTCTTAGCTTTTTTTTTTTTTTTTTGCTTTTTCACTCATACCCAGCCATGCACAGGGGTTCCTCCTGGCTCTGCACTCAAGAATTACTCCTTATGGTGCTCAGGGGACCATACGGGATGCTGGGAATCGAACCTGGGTCAGCCGCGTGCAAGGCAAATGCTCTACCTGCTGTGCTATTGCTCCAGCCCTGGTTCGTAGCTTTTAAGGGTTGACACACAAGAGCTTTTCAGAGCCACTGAACCATCTGCCCCTCCTACTGAGCCCTGCATGGTGGTCAGACTTAGACACGTATGCCACACTTGGGAAACTAACAAAATCCAGATTTACTGAACAGAGAGTGTGCATTAAGGTGCTTGTCTTGCCTGTGGCAGACCCTGGTTCGATCCCCAGGACACACGACTCACTTGGGAGCACACAGGGCACACTGCCAGTATGGTCCCAAAAAAAGATCAGATTTACTATTGGCTGTGGGAAAGGATCATCAGTGCAGCAGTGGCAACCGCTTGTTCTTCAAACCACATGGCTGTGAGTCCGGGGCAAGGCTGCTGCCTCACACGTGCGAGGCACCGGGTTCGATCCCAGGCACCACAAGCTGAAACCCACAAGGTTTCCTCCGGGACATAGGAGGGGGCGAGCTTGGAAGTCGGTGCCGCGTTTACACACAGGGAGGGTAGGGCAGGTCCGGCACTTGGTTGAAGTAGCCCCCCAGGAAGATGAAGCTGGACCCGACACCGAAGAGCACCAGAGCCGCCCAGAAGCAGACGTTGTCCAGGGCCTTGCCCATGCGCACCCAGTCGGACACCTCCTAGAGAGGGGCGGCGAAAGCCGGCGTCAGCAGCCCGCCGCGCGCGGCCGGGCCCCGTGCAGGCGGGCAGCGCCCGCCCACCTCGTCGGCGGCCTCCTGGTCCCGCGTGCTCTCGGCGACGAAGTTGACGGCGTCCACGCAGCTGCGGACCGCGGGGGCGACGGCACCCAGGTTCTGGCAGAGCGCGGCTGCGGCGACACCGGGCGGCGCTCAGCCCCCGGCCCTCCCTCCGCGGACGCTCCCGCCGGCCGCCCGGGCGCGCCCTCACCGGTCCACGGCCCGTGCCGGTGCCGCTGGGCCTCGAACACGAGCTCGCTGCGCGGCTTCTGCAGGATCAGCTCCTCGGCGCGGCGCAGGACGCCCACGGACGACGCCCGCCGAGCGCGCGGGGCGCGGCGGGGGTCGGCGGCGGCGGCCGGGCCCAGGGCGCGGGGCAGGAGCTGCAGCAGGACCTGGGGCGGGGGGCCGGGCGCGTCGCTCGCGTCGCTCGCCCCCCGCCCGCCGGGCCACGCCTGCGCGCCCCCCGGCGCTTACGTGGCGCAGGCGCGGGCACGCGGCGTGGGTGGCGGGCGTCCGCAGGGACACGTTGAGCACGACGACGCAGTTCATGACGATGAGCGTGGCGACCACCATGACGAAGACGAGGAACCTGCGCCGCGAGCGCGCCGTCACGCCCGCAGCCTCGTCACAAGCGCCCGGGCCGCGATGGAGCGGCGCCCCTCGGCCCCTCCGCCGGGCCGCCCGCTGCCCCCGGCCCGCCTGTGCCTGCGGCCGCCGCGGGCCGCGGCCAAGGGGGGCCCGGGCTCCCTGGAGACGCTGCTGTGGGTCTACCGCTTCCACAGCTCCACGGAGGTGAGCGACGCCCGCCCCCGGCGCCCGGACCCCCGGGGGCGCCCCGCCGCGGCCCGGCCCCCGCGCGGCGCCCGACCACTCCCGCGCCCCCCCAGGTGGCGCTCCGGCCCCCGCTGCTGTCCTCGCTGGAGCTCGCCGTGTCCGCGGCCCACGAGTACCTCGAGCGGCGCTTCCGAGAACTGGAGTCCCTGGAGCCGCGGGGGCGGCCGCCCACCCCCAGGGCCACCCTGGGGCTGGTGCTGAGAGAAGCCGCGTCCGGCGTCGTGAACTTCGGCGCCACCTTGGTAGAGGTGGGGGCGGGCGGGGGCGGGGGCGGGGGGCGAGGGCGGGGGCGGGGGCGGGGGCGGGGGCGGGCAGCCCCCCGACGGCCGTGCTCGCGTTGCAGATCTCGGCCTTGTGGCTGCAGCAGGAGGTGCAGCGGCTCGAGGACGGCGACGAAGGCCTGGGGCTGTCCCCGGAGGCCGGAGATCCGGGAAGGGCGCTGGCCCGGGTCGCCCTGGCCGTGGGTCAGGGGGCTTGGCGGGCCGGGGCCACGGCCGGCGCGAGCGCGCGGCTCCTGCTCCGGGGCGCGTGGCTGTGCCTGAGTGGCCGGGGCCCCCAGGGGTCCGCCTCGTTCCTGCAGCAGTGGCGACGCCAGCTGGGCCTCGGAACCCCCGAGGAACCGGGGAGCTGAGGATCGGGGGTGGGCGGGGGACCGGAGGCCGCGGCACTAGGGGGACACCGAGCCGGCCGTTCCCGGACCGACAGACGCAGGAGAACTCGGGGTGACGTGGGGCGGCAGTGCGAGGGACGGGGCACCAGAGAAGCCACTGCCGGCCCGTGCCACTCTCCCCTCCGAATAAAGTCCGGGAGGGACAAGAACCGAAGCTCCGGCCGGGTCGCGTGGTTCCGGCTGCGCCCCAGACCCCGCCCCGTGCTGACCAGGCGCCGCCCTGGGTGCTGGCCGCAGCCCGCGTGGGACCTGCCCAGCCCGCTGCTCCCTTACTGCCCAGCCCGCTCCCCCCTTACCTGCCCAGCCCGCTCCCCCCTTACCTGCCCAGCCCGCTCCCCCCTTACCTGCCCAGCCCGCTCCCCCCTTACCTGCCCAGCCCGCTCCTCCCTTACTGCCCAGCCCGCTGCTCCCTTACTGCCCAGCCCGCTCCTCCCTTACTGCCCAGCCCGCTGCTCCCTTACCTGCCCAGCCCGCTCCCCCCTTACTGCCCAGCCCGCTGCTCCCTTACCTGCCCAGCCCGCTCCCCCCTTACCTGCCCAGCCCGCTCCCCCCTTACTGCCCAGCCCGCTGCTCCCTTACCTGCCCAGCCCGCTCCTCCCTTACTGCCCAGCCCGCTCCCCCCTTACCTGCCCAGCAGCGGCACGCTCAGAGACGTCTCCGGGATTTTCTGGGCGATCAGGAACAAGAAGACGGTCTGGGCAAGCAGGACGTTGATGGAGACCGTGCACTTCTGGCCGCCGGCTGGAGGGAGCACGCGCTGAGGGGCGCCCGGCAGGCCCGAGCAGGAGCCAGCGGGCAGGGGTCGGGGCCCCTACCTTGCGCGGGCAGGAAGTAGGCGAGCAGCACGAGGCCGGAGATGAGCACGCAGGGCACTATGATATTAATGACGTAGAAGAGCGGCTTCCGGCGGATGATGAGCGTGTAGATGACTTCGGTGCCTCCCGCGTCGTCAGCGGAGCCGCCCTCTTGGCGGCGGATCACCCCCGGACAGTAATCGATGGCCCATTCGCCGTTTTCTACGGGCATAAGGCGCGGTCAGTCAGCGGGGAGCCCGCGCTGTCCTCGGGCTTCGCGCCTCCGTGCAGTCGCGCACAGAAGATGCGGCTGTCGAGGCGGGCGGGCGGGGGGGCCGGAGTCCTGGGCTCCTGGGGCCCAGGGCAGGCAGGATGAGGCCAGCTGAGGCAGAAAGACATTCCTTTCCAGGGAGGCTATGGGACCATAGGAAGCAAGGAAGCAGGATCGCCTGACAATCAACTAGTTTTCGGAAAGGGCCTTGTTAAAGCGCACTTGCCAAAATCAGACCCCAGCAACTTGGGTGAACTCCACTCAGAAAAGCATCTCTGCACTCAGTCTAGAAGCATTCTTTTCTGAACAGGGCAAGGACGGCAGGGCTCACCCGTGTAGGCCTCCGTATCTATATAGAGCTGGCTGACAGTCTTGCCTTCTTCATCCACGGCGAAGATGAACTCCACCTCTTCAGCACTATATGTCTGAGAACTACAGAGCCAGAACCCGGGACTCTCGCCCCAACAGCTAGAACCCAGGTCTACCTTGGGCCAGGGCTTACCAAGCTGAATCTGAGGTTATTGGGACTGACCCCATGCCCCATGCCCCACCTCCACGCCTGTTCCCCTGCTCTGTCCATCAAGGTGGAAGGTCCCACGGCTTTAGAGGACTGGCTCCACCCTCCAGGACCCAGACGCACTGCCCAATCTGACTCCCCTCCATTGGTCACCCCCACCCCCGCCCCTGCCATCATCACTGCAGTCCTGAGTAATTTCCCACCGGAAAATGAGGGAGCAATTCTGCCAGTCAAAGGGAAAGTAGGTGACTTCCACAGCGCAGGTACTGCGATAGATGGCCGGGGGCAGCCAGCTCACGGAGCCACCCTCGTAGATCAGGACATTGGCGTCGTAGGCCACGCCGAACTGGCCGTCGATACTGTAGGGGAAATCAGGCTTTTGTACACTGCTTGGTGGTCTCCACACATCAGACATGCCCCTCCCTGGTCTCAGTCCAACCCAACACCTCTCAGCCCAACCTTTGTTTCCCTCCTGTCAGGTGCCCTCCTGGTGCTCACTTATTTTCCAGCACAATCTCTGGCAGCCATACGAGTTCTGCAGGAACCCGCAGGATATCTAAGCCCCCAAAATCATCCTTGCTGAAGTTGAATCGGTAATCATGCCAGTCCTAAAAAGTTGGGGCACAGAGGGGAGAATTTTGCTCGGCAACTCCCAACCTGGTTCCCTGGCAAGCTTTGGGTTTAATCTGGGGAGGACTCATACCATGCTCCCAAATTGACTTACGATTCCAATCCAGACGCTGGTGGTCAAGGTCTCCTCTTTCTCATTCTGCGCATGGATTTCAGATGAAGAAATGGATTTCAGTGCCAGGTCTGGGAGAACATGGATGCTTGGGGCCAGAGAGGGATTTTAGGGTTGGCTGAAAGTAGGAGTCTCTTACCAGTGAGATAAGGTTGGTCAGGGTCACCTTGAGGGAGATGATGACTGTCTCCTCAGGCCTCTGCACGGGCCTGCGTGCACTGTCATAGTTGTCAAGGAGATGATGGTATAGACGCAGCTCCTCGTTGCTCTCACCTCTGCCTGGGATGGAGTCAAACGGAGGAAATCACGAGCTGAAGAGGCTGCGGGTATCTGCGAGGTTGTGGATTCTTCCTCGCCAATTCTTCCAGGGGTGTCCCCCGCCAGGGAAATCTCTTGTCTACACCTTGGTCTTTTTCTCCATCCTGTCCCTTTCAGGTTAGTATCTCAATGTCTGACCCCCTCCCCTGTCCTCCCCTCATCCCTTCCATACCCAGGAGGCCCCAGAGGAACAGGCCACACAACAAAAGCCCTGGCATCCTTCTGTCTGCTCTCAGGGTTATTCTGAGCTTTGACAGGCTTGGAAGGGGGCAGGTCAGGGCACATGAGTGGCGGGGAGGGGGTGTTAGTTCCGGACTGGGTTAGGGGACTGTCACCTAATCTTCCACACTGCAGCCAGGCACATCTTGGCTGCTTCCAAAGGCAGCTGTACCCGCCTGTGTTTCCTGTCCCCGCACAGTCCCGGCATCTTTGCCTGCTACCCAGCCACACAGACTGGAGCTGTTCTGAAGCAGGTGGGCTTCAGAACAGTCTGAACCCCCGAAGCCTGGTAGCAAGGTCTGTGGTCCTTTGCAGGCAACATTCCTTGATTCCCATCCTCACTAGTGAGGACACACATTACCACCACCCAGGATCCCAAGATCACACTGATGTAGTTCTGCCAGCAGAGTGTGGCAAAAGCTTATCTCCCTAGAGACCTAGTAATGAGACAGACAGACACTGTGACAGACTCCACCTGGCTCAGAAACCATGCCTCACTACAGGGCCCTTCCTCTCCCCACTGCCTTATTCCCACTTCTGCTCACCGCCAGCCTCTCTGAGTGAGCACTTGCCCCAAACACCAGTTTTAACTTGTAACCATCTTACGGTCACAAGTGTTAGGGAGTACTGTCTATCCAAATAATGAATTCACCTTTTCCTAAAGTCTTCTTGAGTCACCCAGTCTCCTGGATGCTTATTTTCAATCCAACTTCCTAGGCTCCATTGCCAAGAACTGTGATTTAAAATGATGCCAGAAATATGGTACCAGGAATCTGCTGGTGTGATTTCTATTTATTCTCCAAATCAGTTAAGTTCTCCGTTAAATCACCACTAATACATCCTGCATCTCTCTCACATCCTACAATAGTGCAGCAAAATTTTATTTGGTCCAACATCCTGCATTTAGGAACATAGTCTGGGGGGAGGGTAGAACTCTCATCCCTTGATGCTCAAGCCCATGTGTTATTGTAGCCTGGGACATCTATCACTCTCTACTGGAGAGCACTTTGTCATAGGGGCCCCAGCTGGGACTGGAACTCTTGTCCTCAGCCCAGTGAATCCTGCACGCGTCTTTTATAGAGCCAGCATGTGGGATGAGTGTTAGTACATTGTATGCCTGAATATCAGCTATGAATAACTGTGGATCACTGGTGCCTTAATAGAAATTTTAGTTTTAAAAGTTCTTTCCCCAGGTAGTGTTTCCAGGAGGGGCTTTTCCATCTCCTTCCTCTACCCCAGGCGCCACAGTCCACCAGTTAGTGCTGGGCTGGGGCCGAGAATGCTGGACTGTGCATTTTTTGTGAGCTCAGGCTGATGATTGCCTGAGGGATTAAGACTTCTTCCTGAGTAGGCAGTGACCAGCAACAGACTCCAGCCTGCTCCAGCCTGGGTTGTTTTCTCTTTTTGAGTCACACCCAGCGATGCTCAGGGGTTATTCCTGGCTCTGCACTCAGGAATTACTCCTGGGGGTGCTTGGGAGGCCATATGGGATTGAACCTGGGTTGGCCTCATGCATGGTAAATGCCCTACTTGTACTATCGCTCCAGCTCCAGTCTGGGTTTTATATTGTTTAGTTTGCTTTGTGTAGGGGCCACAACTGATGGTGCTGGGGTTTTCTCCCAGCTTTCTTCTCTGGGGTCATTCCTGGTGGTGCTTGGGGGGGAGGGGACTAGGGTGCTTAGAATAGAAACAGGGCCTCCTGCATGCTAAATCTGCACTCAGTCCATTAAGTTCTCTTTCAGGCCCCAAGTTTTGCTTTTTTTTTCTTTTTGAGTCATACAGCAATGCTCAGGGGTTACTCCTGGCCCTGCACTCAGAAATTACTCCTGGTGGTGCTCGGGGGACCATTGGAATGCTGGGAATCTAACCCAGGTCGGCTGCTTGCAAGGTAAACACCTTACCCGCTGAACTATCTCTCCAACCCTGAGTTTTGCATTTTTTACAGTGCTCCCAAGAGACACTCAATTCCATTGGGCATTCACAATCCTACATTGCTTTTCTCTTCCTTTGAGTGGTTTAGCAATGTCCTTTTTGTATAGACACAGGAATACAGTTAATTGAATACTGTTTATTCCTGGGCATCTATCATATTTACATGACTTAAGCCTCAGTTGCCCTTAGTTCTTAACACCCCCCAAAATGGAGGTCCCTCTGAGAGACAAGGATGGACAAAGATCTAAGCTCGATAGGAAACCACTGCTTTCACCTATGGCTTGGAGGCTGCCCACAGTGGCCAGGTTTGGGTGGCGTGTGCTTCTGAGCCATCTGTAGCCTCACAGTGGAGATGTCTCCCAGCTGGTCTGATGAAGGCCCCTTCAATTTGCAACAATGCCAGAGAGAGCGTATAGTGGGCAGAGACTTGCCTTGCACATGACTGACCTGGGTTCTCTCTCCGGCACTCCATATGGTGCCTGAGCCCTGCCAGGTATGATCCCTAAGCTCAGAATCAGGAGTAAGCTCTGATTACCACTGAGTGTGGCCGTAAAACAAAAATCAAAATAAAAAAGCGCTTACGTGGATTTGATCCTTAGCACTTCGGAAATAGTTCCTCTTCCTTTTATGAATAAGGAGACTGGGTTTAGAGGAGTCAGTACCAGACAATATAGAACACTGTCCGGATAACCCTGGATAGCATTGGTGTGTCCTTGCTCCTCCCGAAGGGAGCTTAGGGTTAGTTCTTGACTGCCTGTGGCTCTGATGGCTAAGACCTCACTGGTAGTTAAGACACAGAGGCAGAGCTCAGTAAATAATAGGCACTTGACAAATATTTATTGAACCCCCCAAAAAAACTTGTTTTCAGATTTTGGGCCACACCTGGGTCTGTACTCGGGTACTTATGGCAGCACTGGGAGACCACGCCTGTGCTAGGGTTCAGTATTTCACTCAGCTCCGTGCTAGGCAAGCATCTTTGTACTCTTTGGCCCCTACGGAACAAGTTAGCAAGAATAAATGAGCGAATGCTAGCTTCCTAGAACAGTCCGCCCCTCTCCGGCTGGAGTTGATGGGCTCATGGGAAGACACTTGCCCAAGTGAAGCCACAGAAAGGCCCCTCCTGATGCCGAACCAGTAAGTCAGTCTAGACCCAGCAGTATAAGGCCCACAAGGTGGGCAATGCCAGAGGCAGATTATTCATTCCTCCTCTGGCATGAAGTAAGAGAACAGGATTGGGCTCAGGGAGATGGCTCAGAGGACTGAGCACATTCTCTTCTGTCTGGTTTCACTTGCTCCAATCCTGCTGGATTTGATTTAAAAACCACAGAGGGGGGGGAATGTGATAAGAGATCGAGTGATAGTGTAGTGGATAGGGTGCTTGCCTTGCACATGGCTGACCCGGGTTCAATCCCCAACATTCTATATGGTCTTTTGAGCCTGCTGGGAGTGATCCCTGAGCACAAAGCAAGAAGTTAGCTGGAGCACTACCTGGTGTGGCCAAAAAACAAAAACAAAAAGTGTGGGGCGGTCATTTGCAAACCACAGCACCCAAAAGGAGAGAGAGAACAAAAGGGAATGCCCTGCCACAGAGGCGGGGTGGGATGGGGGTGAATGGGGAGGGTGGGAGGGATACTGGAATCATTGGTGGTGGAGAATGGGCACTGGTGGAGGGATGGGTGCTCGATCATTGTATAACTGAAACCCAAGCACAAAAATTTGTAAGTCTACAACTGTACCTCGTGGTGTTTCACTAATGAAAATTAAAAAAAAAAAAACAAAAAAAACCCGTGTGGGGCGGGGGAACTGAGAAATAGAATATTGTGGGCAGGAAAGAGTCTTTAGCATCTCAAGCCTCCTTTTCCCTGGCTTGACAATACTAAGATTGGACCAGGCAGATGGCGCAAAGGCCTGAAGTGCCTATTTTGCTTGCAGAAACCCCAAGTTCAAGCCTCAGCACCACATGGTCCCCTTAGCACCACCAGGTGGCCACAAAACAAAAAATTGGGATTTAGAGCCAGGAGCTTGACTCAAAAGATCTGGAGCTCATATTTTGCATGCTGGAGCCCCAAGTCTGATCCCTGGCATACCTGCTCCCCCAAGGACCACTAGAAGAGACACCTGAACTCCAAACAGGGTGGAGAACCCAAGCTTGACTCTAAGACAAAACAAAAATTAGGATTTGGGGTCATTGATATGACTCAGAGAAATGGAACATACGCCTCCATGTGCAAGCCTTGGGTCCTACCTGGTGTGACTCTGGTGGTCCCCTGCACCAGTGGGCGCCAGGCCTCACAGCACCAGCCCAGGCACTGAACCATCAGCCCACATTGCCAGATCAATATCATTAAAGTGGCCGCCCAGAACCCCACCTAGCATTTGTGAGTGTGATTCCTCAAAGAATTAGGATTTTCACAGCCTGAGATATAGAAACTTACCTAATAAGCAACTGCTTTGATGGCAACCCAGATTCAATCCCCAGCACCACATAAGGCTGATATGAGCACTGTGAGGTGTTGCTCCTAAGCCCAGAGCCAGAAATAGTCTCTGAACATCACTAGATGGGTTCCCTCCCCCCTCCCCCAAATTAGTATTTTTAAAAAGGAGCTGGTGTAAAGAAAAGCCCCGTATTCCCCATAATATAATCCCCAGGAAAATCCTGATGACAAGGAGAAAGACAAATGCCAGATGGCTTCACTGTTGTGTAGGATATAAAGAAACAAGTCAGAGGAACAGACATAGCCAAACCCAAACCGAAACCAGGCCTAGATTCTGAAGGTAGAGTGAGGAGTGAGATTATTAGAGCGGGGGGG